CAACTCCTGGACTCAAGCGAGTCTCCTGCCTCAGCCTCTCAAGTAGCTGGGACTACAGGCGTCCGCCACAACGCCTGGCCATTTTTTTGGTTGCAGCCATCATTGTTGTTTGGCGGGCCCGGGCTGGGGATTCGAACCCGCCACCTTAGGTGTATGTGGCTGGAGCCTTATCCTCTTGAGCCACAGGCGCCGAGCCAACATGAGTTCCTGTAACAATTCAGATCAGATGTAATCAACCTGTAGAAACAAATAGGTGCCTGAGGCAACTCTCTAGTCTACAACTTCATAGCACCACTCTCCTCCACATACTCTGCACCTTCCTGTTTCCCCTTTCTGCAGTCTTCCAGTTAGAAGGAAAAAGCTGTGGACCAGGAGTCAGGAAGCATAGGGTCTAGATCTAGTTTTGACAGGAAATGACATGTTACCATTGATGTGTCTTTTACTTCTCTAGTCTAAGATCCTTATCTGTAATAATCCCTAATTTCAAGACTGTTGTTAAAAGAGAATATACCTTGACAAATATTAAATGCTCAATAATTTTATTTAAAGGTTAATAGATGATAATGGAAAAGAGGATAAGTTTGGAATAAGGGAACTTAAGTCTGAATTCAATTGTGTGAATCACTTAACTTTTCAGAGCTTGCTTCTTCATCTACGGAATTGCAATAATACTATGTATCTGCTCGAGTTTTTTGTAAAAATTAGCCACACCCAACCGAGCATTTAACAGAGGTGATACAGTTTAATCCTCTTTTTCTAAACCACTTTTCTTAGCCAAGGACACAGGATCCACAGACGCAATTCAGAGACAGGGACCTCCTGAAACGGCCTGAGACGTTTCTGTGTATGGCTGCATCTTTTCTTTCTAAAGATAAAAAAGTCCATTCTCTCTTCCCATAAAAATTCCCAAGGAAACAGAAAATGATACACATTTTCAAATGTGTAATTATTTGCAATAGTCTAAAAAAATGGCAAATTCAACGTGGGGACGAAGAGAGAGTTAAAACAGCAATTCAGTCGATCATGCTGATATTAACCACAACTTCTGTGTTCGAAAAGTTAAGGAACGCTATTCTAAAGGGAGTTTTCCGGTTCTAACACTTGGCGGTTTTATCAGCGAAGCACTGAGCATCGGTTCGGTGGAATCCAACCTCTTCATCCGAATCAACTCCACGCCGCTCTCGTTACTCAGACAGAACCTAGAAATCAATCCGTCCCCAATCCCAGCAGCGGCCACACTTGCCTCACAATGAGGTAGTTTCCCCCAGATATTGCATAAAGGACAAACAAATCCATCGGTCCCCCGCCTAGAGGTAACGCCCCCAGCTCCTACCAGGCGCGTGCTCAAAGGTTAGGCCAGGTCCCCTCCTCCCCAGGTTTTCCTCCCCAAATCTCCCTCTCCCCGCAGCCAGCGGAGGTTGCCGAGGCCCCGGCGATCCAACTCCGACGGGTCTGCGAGGCGTCTGAGGCGAGGGCAGAAGCACCCCTGCCGGCAGGCTTCCAGCCCTCCCTGCCCCTCGCCTTCCCTCTGACCAGCCTGTCCGAGGGAAACCGAAAGAAGCAACGCTGACTGGGCTCCCACTCACCTCAGAAAAGAAAACCGATTTCTGAGAGCAAATAAAGCGGAGCCCTGGAAGGGAAAAGACGGCACAAGCCTTAATCCTCTTATCTCTAACTCACTGAGCGGCTACTCTCGCAACCTGGTTTGCCGGCTCGCAGCAGCTACGCGCTTCTTCAGCCTCCAGCTCCCACCCGCGGGCTCAGCAACAGAGCCCGGGACGAATTCCCGCCTCCCACCCCCTGGGTCCCGGCACCCAATCGCCGAGCCCGCTCGGACAACCAATCTCCCGCCAAGAGCAGACATCGACCAATCCCGGCGTAAGCTCCGCGGCGAGCGCTCTGGCCGCGGTGCAAGCCTGGGAAGTGAAAACAGATCCAAGGTACTTGGCGGCGCCGGAAGGCAGTCTCTGGAGTGCGCTACTCGAGCAAATCTGGGGCTTTGTTTGGGGGAAAGGTGTTTTCTCGTTTGACTTTTGAAACCGCCGTTTAACCCACACAACGAATACCTTGAAAACTAGTCTCATTCTTAGGGTCCGTAGACCCGGGTAGAGGAATCACCTTAAAGCCGCGTGCACCAATGCCACTCAATTTAAATTTCCCAATTTTACAGTAGCCAGCGTATTGAAAAGACTGAATGAAGCAGGAAATGCCAGACTACTGAGCCGAAGTAGGCAAGAAGGTTCTGTGACAAATGGCTACAGTATTTCATATTTCAAAGTTTTCCAGATATTAAAATGAGCCAGAGGTAAGTTCTCAAGGTTTCCAGCTCATTACTGATACCCCCATTAAGGCTGATCGGCCTTC